TCTTCAATTCTCTCCATTGCAGACCATGCTTGGGGGGATAGGTTGTTGCTGCAAGTGCCCTTAAGTCAGTTCTGACACCCAGTCATGCAGAAAACAACACTGGGGAACAAATGGTGGCCCCTGAAAAGATGTGAAGGTCTCTCGAAGGGAAAACACCAATTCCAGTGCAAATGCTAAAGAATCTTCACAAAGGAAAAAATATAACAATCTTTTCCTCCGCACTGACCTGGAAGACCTTGGCCAAGTCTCACTAAAATCTTCGCCTAAAACAAAGGCATCGGTCCTTAAATTCAGGAGATTCTCTTGTCAGGAAGGAATAGGATTTCCTCAGGTTTAGTTACCAAAACTTCCAGGAATTCCTGGCCAGGAATGAAGCAATCTCCCACCTTCCTTGCTTGGCTAACTCCCTTTTCCATTTGGAGCTCTCTAAAGTACTTATTGTATTTCCTGGTCTCATAACCTTGATCTTGGCTTCCCCAAACCTTACTTAATTACAGAGAAGTAGGCAATTTCTAAGGAGCTCTGGTAGCGTAGTGGTTACAAATCAGGCTGTGAACCGCAAGGTCAGCAGTTTGAAACTATCAGTGGTTCCACAGGAGAAAAATGAGGCGCTTTGCTCCCGTGAAGATTTACAGCCTCGGAAACCCTGTGCAGGGTCGCTATGAGTCGGAACCGACTCCACAGCACTTAACAACAACAACAGGCAATTTCTAACTTTCTTACTTGAGGGACTTTTTTTTAAATTCTTAAAAGTGTGGAAAAGTCATCCATGGCTGTTAGTTATGGTCCCATTGGCTAGAGTTCAAGGTTTGGCATTACTATTTGTTAGCTCTGAGATACCAGCCATTAGGTATTTCATCCTGCTGAACCTTCAGATCCCTCAGTAGCAAAATAGAGATAATACCTATTTTACAATGCTGCAATTCATATAAAAGGTACCAGTCATCTTCCCTCCTTTCTTTTGGGTAGGAATTCAATTTGGTACCTGCCCTCCTGCACCACCAACATCAGTTCTCCCATCTACCCCAAACCCAAAAAGTTACACAAAAAACATCAATATAAAAAAGAACATATACTGTATGATTCCATTTATATGAAGTTAAGAAAAAGCAAAAGTCATCTGTAATGACAGAAATCAGACAGTAGTTGCCTGATAGGGAAGGGATAGCAGTTCAACAGACTGGAAATGGGCACAAGAGAACTTTCTCCTCCTATGAAAAATGTTCAGTATCTTGTTCTGGGTGGTAATGGTTACACAAGAATATAGAGTAATCAAAATTAAGATCTGTTCATTTTAATTATGTAAAGATACCTCAATTTAAAAAAAAACAAAATAACCCAACTGTGTTACTTTTAGGCCACATACACATTAAGACGGGAAAATGGGCCTTTTTATAAAAATCTGCCCCATAGCGACCCAGTATAGGGTTTCCAAGGAGGAGCTGGTGAGCTTGAACCGCTGACCTTGCAGTTCAAACGGTTTTGAAAAGGGATGCATTAACCCACAGTGCCACACCAAGACTCCAATCAAGGCATATGAAGCAAAAAATGACGCCTGCCTAAATTTGATTCCTACTTTCAGTTCCAACTAGCTGTAGTCAATTTATGTACCCTTTCTGGGCCTTATATTCATCAACTGTAAAATGAGGAACATCTAAATATCTACTTCACAAATTGTATATACTATAATCTATGCAAAGTACCAGAAACATGGTAAGCACTCCCCACAAAAGAAACCCCTAATATTGAGCTGATTTCAACTACAGCAACCCTAAAGCCCTCATGTGTACTAATTCTCTTCCTTTCCTCAGCACTCAGTGTGTACTAATCCCATTTCTTTCATCTCCCATATATGAATAACAAAGAGGCTGTCAAAATGCAATATACCTATTGCTCATTTATGGACTCATTATCAAACATTTCACATTTATAATCATAGTAAAAAAACATCTAAGGAGCTCTGGTAGCGTAGTGATTACGAATCGGGCTGCAAACCTCAGGGTCTGGAGTTCGAAACTACCAGCTGATCCATGGGAGAAAGATGAGGCTTTCTGCTCCCGTAAAGATTTACAGCCTCGGAAACCCTGTACAGGGTCACTATGAGTCAGAACCGACTCCACGGCACATAACAACAACAACCCAAGCTATAAGTCTAAGAGT